AGGTTTGTACAAGTTTACCTGCTCCTAGTAACATATTAACATCGCTGCCAGGATAATTAGGTTTGTACAAGTTTACCTGCTCCTAATAACATATTAGCACTGCTGCCAGGATAATTAGGTTTGTACAAGTTTACCTGCTCCTAGTAACATATTAACATCACTGCCAGGATAATTAGGTTTGTACAAGTTTACCTGCTCCTAGTAACATATTAACATCACTGCCAGGATAATTAGGTTTGTACAAGTTTACCTGCTCCTAGTACTGTTGGTGGCTTCAACAGATGTTGGTCTTTCACAGAGAAGTTCTGAGGAGGCAGATTCTGTACAAGAGGTAGGTTCTGAGGAAGGTTCGTATTTGGCAAAGCACTGAGTGGTAATGCTGTTGGAGAATGAAGCATTACAATTGGCTGAAAGTTTTGACTCAACTTGTATTCGTCTTCAGCGGGAGGTCTCGAAACCTGTTTGTGCCGTGCATCGCTAGGGCCAACCGTGTGTCGACGAATCACCTGGTAACGAGAGACTGTTTCTGGCATGGGGTCCTCTCCATCAGATTCCAAATCTATCTCACCAAACTAAAGAACGAAATTGTTTTTTTTTTAAAGATTAGTTAAAATCACAATATGAAGGTAAATCTCTTGTGACAACAAAATTTTTTAATTCATCTAAAAATGAAATACCTCCAACATTATTTTAAAGTATTTTATTTGAAGCATTTATCACTACTGTTAAAAAAAAAAAGTCTTCAGATATTCTGATTACGTACAACAACGTCTTCAGATATTCTGATTACGTACAACAACGTCTTCAGATATTCTGAAAGTTATCTGATTTTGTCAAACAAAAAGCTGTTCAAATTGTTCTAACTGCAATATTCAAAAGTACCATTAACTTTTTCATACATTATTTATTAAAAACACATGCAGACCAAATGGATACTTAATGGGTGAGATAGACAGGTTCTCGTATACATCTTTAGTCTATCATTGTGGTTAGATTGAGTGAACATAAATACAACATTCTTTACTTAACAAGAAAGTTATCTTCTGTGTAACTGTTTTTAATAACTGTGGAATATTTGAGTAACAAATAAAACTGATAAACAGAAACAGGTTTTACAAAACAATACAACCTAGGAACACCAAGTGTCCACAGAATAAAAACAATACAAACTAAAAACACCAAGTGTCCACAGAATAAAAACAATACAAACTAAAAACACCAAGTGTCCACAGAATAAAAACAGTACAACCTAAGAACACCAAGTGTCCACAGAAACAAACAATACAACCTAAGAACACCAAGTGTCCACAGAAACAAACAATACAACCTAAGAACACCAAGTGTCCACAGAAACAAACAATACAACCTAAGAACATCAAGTGTCCACAGAAACAAACAATACAACCTAAGAACACCAAGTGTCCACAGAAACAAACAATACAACCTAAGAACACCAAGTGTCCACAGAACAGAAAAAACAAACAATACAACCTAGGAACACCAAGTGTCCACAGAACAGAAACAAACAATACAACCTAAAAACACCAAGTGTCCACAGAACAGAAACAAACAATACAACCTAAAAACACCAAGTGTCCACAGAACAGAAACTATATACACAATAAACTACATATCTGCAGGTCAAAACAAACAGTATAAGCTAAACACTGATTCTCAAAACAAATACAATACAGGCAGCAGACATTCACATAGATAACTACAACCAACCCAACACGAATAATTCTAATACGTCACCTTTTCAAGACTCTGATTCTCAGCAAACATCTGCAACATAGGGGTCGGACTGATAGTCAAGGATGATGCTTGGTTATCAGTGTCAACAAACTCCATAACAGCTGGACCTCTTTCCACTGTAGGAAATCAATAAGATGTTACATCTTATTTAATTTACACGTATATATATATATACCTTTGAACTTGAAAAATTTCTTAATACAACCTAAGTGTAATCGTTACTGTTATATCTAGTTTAAAGTATTACAAGTTTAAAGTATTACAACTGGGGTTGGTATCTGTATAACAGTAACGATTACATTGGGGTTGGTGTTGTAATACTTTAAACTAGATATAACAATAACGATTACATACCAACCCCAGTTGTAATACTTTAAACTAGATATAACAATAACGATTACATACCAACCCCAGTTGTAATACTTGACTTCCTTTGTGGTTGGGCTGTTACAGGCAAATTCTGAGGCAACAGTGCCGCCCTCTGGTGACTTTTCAATTTATCCAGAAGGAGGTGATACATTGCACTAAAATCATCAAACCACTTTTCTCGTACAGACTGAAATTTGACAAATATGTTATAGTCAACTCTCAAACAACATTTAAAAACTTATTCAGCTATTTTCATTGTGACTTGTTTGAACAATTTCTATTAAGAAACAAATATTAATTTACCGTAAAATGAAGCTAATATATGAAAGCAAGCTAGCTACACGTATCAAACAAATATTAATTTACTGTAAAATGAAGCTAATTTATGAAAGCAAGCTAGCTACACGATAAACAAATATTAATTTACTGTAAAATGAAGCTAATATATGAAAGCAAGCTAGCTACACGTATCAAACAAATATTAATTTACTGTAAAATGAAGCTAATTT